GAAAATGTTAAGACCAAAGTCAGAAGAAACTATAACCACTGATCACAAGTTTCTTAATAACCAATCAGTTCCTAAAAATCCTCATCAGAATCCTTCTAGAGACAATAAAGAACATCTATAATTCTGTTCTAGAACCAGCGGAGAACCCTGAGATCCCTGTCTCATCATATCCTATCTTGGTTATGATAGTGAAAAACTACTTTGATCCATATATGATGTCATAAAATAATGCTTAATAAATTGCTGATTACAAAGAGTGTCTGCTGTTGGTATTTGACATCCCCGATATACCTGATATACATCCCCTATACGCAAGTGTTCATTGCTGGCAGTGTTGCTTTCTTTTGCTGATAATCTTAATTCCTGTTCCCTGGCCTAACACTTTGTTTTCCTCAAAACAAAACATGATAATCAGTAACTGAGTTTAAAAGGCTGGAAAAGGAACAGAAGAAGGAAATGATTTGACAGTCTATAGAAATATTCTGTAGACTTACATCTCATACTTCTGCACACTGGGTATCTAAGATCCAGGTGCCACCACAGGCAGGTCCTTGGGGAGATGAATCATCCTCATGTCCACACAGGACTTTCCTTACTGCATGTGCCTCTTTATCTTGCTCTCTCTATGAATACATCTCTCCTATCATCCTCATAACCTCTGGTAGCTATCAGAACCTTCCCAAATTTCTTCCCCCAATATCATCCTATATAGTTTGTTATTAATAAATTCATTTCACATAGTAGGAGTGTAGCACAAGTATTGAACCTAAGACACTCATTTCTACAGCGGGGGTAACCTCACAGTATTTTTAAGTTTAATTATGGTAAAGATTGAGTACCTCTTATTGAAAATTGTGGACTAGCAAAGCCTTAGTTTTACTTATAATAAATACATGGCATAATCAATCTCTCAAGGAACAAGGTTTACATTGGCTTAGAGTTTCAGAGTTTCTATGACATAATTGGTCAGATCCATTGACTAGGATTTCTCATGAAGGTGCTGGATTACAGTGGTGGTCAACTTGTAGCCAAGCAAACTGTTCAACCCACAGGGAGGAAGCAAAAGCAATTGAAGGGACAGTGTCTCACACACACAAACCCCTTTAAGTACACAAAATATATAGGCACCTTCACTTGACCCCACATGCTAAAGGTTCTACAACTTACCAGGGCTAGAGATATGGCTCAGTAGTTAAGATTACAGTCCCCTACACCAGAGGACCCAGGTTCAAGTCCCAGAACCCCCCTAGTATCTCACAACTGTCTATAACTCCAGAGCCAGTTTACTGAGCTCTGCAGGCACTCCATGCACAAGGTGCCCTTACATACATGCAGGAAATACACCCAAACATCTTTTTTTTTTACTTTTTAATACATTAAAATAAATCTTTAAAAAAGAAATAGGCCCAGCCTACAATCCACAACCCCAGAGAAGCTTGAACTCTCTTCCAGAAACAGATGGAAGCAGATGCAGAAATCCAAAGCTAACCAATGGGCCAAGCCCCTGGAGTACAATCAAAGTGAAGGAGGAGTGATAATATGAACAAAGGAGTCAAGACTATGAATGGAGAAACCCACAGAATCAGATGACCTGAGCTAGTGGGAGATCACTGACTCAGGTCTGACAAATGGAGAACCTGCAGAAGACCAAACTAGACTCCCTTAATATAGGTGACAGTAGTGTGACTGGGACAGTAAATGAGGCCACTGGCAGTGGGTCCAAGATCTAATACTAATGCACAAACTAACTTTGTGGAGCTCATTCTATATGGAGAGATACCTTGCTAAACCTAGACACAGGGCTGTGGGGGTGGAGAGGTGCCTTGGTCCTGCCTCAACTAGATGATGGAACAGACTTAGTAGACTTCCTAGGGGAGGCCTTACCCTCTCCGTAGAGCAGATGGGAGGAGTGGGGAGAGTGGAGGGAGTGGGAGGAGAGGAGGGAGGGGAAACTGAGATTGGAATGTAAAAAATAAATTAATAAAAAAGCTTTAAAAAGTGTCAGGTGTTGCTGGCGCACGCCTTTAATTCCAGCACTTGGGAGGCAGAAGCAATAGGATCTCTGAGTTCGAGGCCAGCCTGGTCTACAGATTGAGTTCCAGGACAGGCTCCAAAGCAATACAGAGAAACCCTGTCTCAAAAAACAAGAACAAAAAACAAAAACAAAAAAAGCTAAAAAGGAGAGAAAGTTATAGGAGAGTTCACTTAAAAAGAAAACAACATAGAAGAAAGAGAAAACAAATTAATGGATAGCAGAAAAGAAAAACAAGCAGTGGCTTGGCATGATGTATGTGTGGCCTTGGTACTGCAGTCACAATGACAGGATCAAAACTTAGTATGCAGCTGAAAAATCACATTTATAATCCTACTAGCTTTCTATCTTGGACATAGTTTCATTCTCTAAGTTAATTTTATATGTAATATTGATGACCACACAAAGGACTTAACATACACTAAAAGTTTGATTTAAAAAAGTATTGTGGGGCAGTGAAATGGCTCAGTAGGTAACAGGGCTTTCTTTGAAGCCCAAAGACATGAATTCAATCCCCAGAATACACATGGTGGAGGGAGAGAATAAACTCCCACAAGCTGGCCTCTGGCCTCTACATACAAACCATGGAAAGTGTGAATTTTTCTACATACACAGAGACAGACATAAACAAACAAATGTAAATATCTAAGTAAATAAAATTTCTAAAATGATAAAGTATCATGATTCCTTTCAGGAAAGCATGTACTTCAGGTGGAACAAGAAAAGAACAGGCGTTGGTGGCGCTCCCCTTTAATCCCAGCACTCGGGAAGCAGAGGCAGGCGGATCTCTGTGAGCTCGAGGCCAGTCTGGTCTCCAGAGTGAGTGCCAGGATAGGCTCCAAAGCTACATAGAGAAACCCTGTCTCGAAAAACCAAAAAGAAAAAAAAGAAAGGACAAGAATAAGATAAATTACATCAAACTGTGGTCACATTTGAATAATTTGTGGGTTCTCTGAAGCTGCTGGTGACTCATAGCAGCGATTAAGATACAAACAGTTGATGCACTAGAAAATGACTCAGTGGCAAACTGTCTGCTGCATAAGCATAAAGAATTCAGCTCAGACCCACAGCACCCATGAAGAAAGATAAATGGGGTGGCATATACCTGTAATGCCAGCACTTGGAGGTAGGGACAATAGGATTCAAGAAATCACAGGCCACCTAGTCTCCACAATTGATGAGCTCAAAACTCAGTGAGAAACTCTGTCTCATAAAACAAGTTGGTAGATGATCAAGGAAGACAGCCAGTGTCAACCTCTGGACTCTACACATGCAAACAGGAGTATAAGCACCCTCACGCACATGAACATACAACACACAAACACATCCTTAGCTCATGTGCAGCTGTTTCCCTGTTGAAACATCTTCTCATTCTCTAGGACACTGGAGACATGGCTCAGTGGATGAAGTGCTTGCTATGCAGATTTAAACACTGGAGTTCAGATCCCTATGAGCCATGTATAAACTGAGAAGATGTGGGCAACTCCAGAACTCTCAATCAGAGACCAGGGAGCCTCGGTGCAAGCTGGCTAAACCAGATAAATAAACTAGCTTTATTGGCAAGCTCTGAGTTCAGTTGTGACAATTTGCCTCAATGAATAAGGTCAAAGACAAGGGAGAATGAGTCTCCAAATCAGCCTTTGACATGTAGATGTTGTCCTTTGCACCAGCCTCTGGCCTCAGAACAGGCAGATAAAAGGAAGATGAAAAGGAGGTGTCTTTCTAGTTCATACAGTTGGCAGAATGCAGGGAGCAAATAGTACAAATTAGTTCTGTGCTAAAGAGCTCTTCCTGGGACCTCACAGGAAGAACCCTGGGAACCCAGAGGAATAACTAAAGAATAAGGACGACAAAAACAGGTATGAAATGACAGAAGAGAGATTCACTGCTCAAGTGCAAGCCACATCACTCAGAAGAACAGGTACAGGTCACACCAGCCAGATAAACGAATAGGAGAACTCAGGCAGAGACTCATTGCTAGACCAAAGGCAAGCTGTCAGAACTCCATCCTCCAACTAACAAAGAGACTCCCTGCTGGACCAGAGACCATAATAGCTACTCCAGATCAGCAACCCACCTGGAGACCTCCTCTACTCCCTCTGTGCCCCCCACACACTATCCCCAATTCCCACACTCATCATTGTACCCTAGTCCAGAACTCAAGCAGAGACTCCTGCTGGACCAAAGGCCATGCTAGCTACCAGAATTCCAGCCCCCAACTCTGGCAAGACTTCAGCTAGATCAGAGGTCACTCCCACTGCCAGAAATCCAGGCCACAAAGATCAGAAGACCAAAAAGGAAACAGAAACCAAGGAACAAAACACTCATCCAGAAAAGACAAACTCTGAAATTGGCACCTAAACCTCTAATCACCCAAACCCAGAGGCCTAGATTCCAATGTAAGAACACAACAACAGTCATACAATGTCACCACCAGCACCCATCTATCCTACTACACAAAGCCTACAACACATTTGGAATACAAGAAAATAACCTTAAAACTAAATTTATGAGGTCCTTAAGGAGAAAATGAAGAAAATACAAACATTGGAAGGAATGAACAAACTCCTCAAAGAAAGCCAGGAAGACACAAACAATTGTAGAAAATTAATAAATTCCTTTTTTAAAAGTCAAGAAA